GTCATCTGCTGGTATGAACAATAAAACGCTGCAAATTTCCACTTATTCAGTTATACAAATCTCAAATTTTATTTTTCATGAAGGTGCAATTGAAGTCTTATAACAATTTTGTATGTGATATGAAATGAATCACAATATTCAGCTGGTACTAACGCCTTACCATTTCTGGTACCACTTTCCGAATGTGTCAACATTGCAACATTCTTAAGCATGTCATCATTACGGTCATCCCATCCTTGTACGGGTTTCTTTGTTAACTAAAACTTTTCGTATTATGACATTTCAAAATAAGTGCATCTGTTTACATGTCGCTAAAAAATATATTAACTATTTTTGATAGAGAAAGTGACATTCACAAAATGGTATGTTTCAAACATCGAAATATTAAAACACAGTAGTGAAGGACAGTGGACAATTCGTGTACGTGTATGTGCATGTGTGTTACCAATATCATAAAACAGCGCACTAAAGAAGACATGAGTTGTTCAAAATTATAATCTAGCCATACAATTTCATGTTTTGATTTACATCGTAGTTATAGTTGGCTAACATTCCATTTTTAACTAGGCTCTAGTTGACGGAAGTTTATGTCGCTTAAGCATGGAAAAATTTTCTATAATTTTGACTTAGATATGCAACATCAACGCAATAATATTTCCTAAAATAATGGAAAATTTTGCATACCATTCAGTTAATGCATTAATACTGTCACCCTTTATAAGTTACAAGAAAACTAAAAAAATTCAACAATAAAACATACCGTTGCAGAACATTGCCAACATTAAGTATGTTAGCATCTCCAAACAATATATAACTGTTTTTTCTTTCGCATCATACATCCTAATAGTATCATTACCACCATCTAAAGCTAATAACTTCAGTTGGCAGAACATTTCATTCCAATTTCCAAATAAAATATGGGATTTTATTACCATATAAGTCAGTGGATCGCTTTAACGAATCGGTGTACGTTTCGGAAAATTTTAAGAAAACAAATGCTGTATTTGGAATTTATTTCCAATTTGAATTATGAAAGATCAATGAACATTTACTTTATAACAGCACATGATGTAATTTTCAATTTTTAATTCAACATTTCAAATCCAATTTCTTAATTTGCCTAATAACATCACAATGACAGAAAATTTTAATGAAGGAGTGTGATGCTGCATTTGCGAAGTCACAGCATGCAGAATTGTTAGGCGAGACCTAATACCGAAGATTGTATTACCGAACTAAATCTCATGGTTTATCCGAATGTTGAGAAAATAAGCAAAAAATTAGATTTCGCTCTTTCGCAACATGATTTATTCCCGCAAAGTATAAAATGCACATCTTTTATCGCTGCCACCTTAACATTTTATCTATAGCAATTTGATCACGAAGGGTCACGCTTTTTCGAGGTCTTTCTTTAAGTACGAGAATGTGGTTAGTCATTTATGCGAGTACTAAATTCAGAAGTATAAATCGTCGACAAGTAAATTAAGATTGGAAATCTATTGATTACGTCCTTAATCTCTAAAATTTCATCATTATCAAAGATCAGCAAAATAAACAAGATTATATGGATCGAACGAAGTTTCAAAAACTTATACTGTAAATTTGAAGCAGTGTTAAATGCCCAAATTTGAAAATAATCAAATGGAAAACGTTTTAGCGTTCTTGTAAGCACTTATAATTCAATTTATTTGCAATAATCAACACATTGGCTAAGCGGCAGTTTAGTGGGGCAGTTTTCCTTAACAGCAACTTTCCCAACTTTCAATATGCATCTAGCTGTATTTACACACAAAAACTATTGCCCAGAAACGTTTTATTCCCACTTTATTTTTACCTTATTACTCAATATGTGCAACGCTGGTAACAAAATACTAATTTAGGGGAAAAAATGTCTGTAACTCACCACAACAGCCAGTATTAAAACTATACGGAATAACTCGTTCAAAATGCACTGACGCTATCTGCGAAGTTTTACCATTCTAAAATAAAAGATGAAGGAAACCACAGCCTACCCGGACATCACTGAATTTGCTGCTTTTTGAAACAACACAAGATATGAGCATTGCATTTCCCAATGACTTGCATTCCTAAAATCGTTTCGCGGTAAATAAGTACTTTCTTAGACGCCTTCCTGAAACTTTTTAATCAAACGTAGGAACAGGAATTCTATGTGAATATTGCCCTCTAAACAAAAGCATCCAATAAAGCCAATTTCTCACACAATGAATCTGTAAGTTGACCCGCGCTGCGCAGTAATGTCCACAGACTAAACTCTTTTCTTATCAACAATTCATAAACATACAATTCTAAAGAGCGATTCCACATAATCCAATGAGCTTAAGAATTATGCTGATGCAACATATCTTCACACTGCAACAAAAACGCATTTTATAGAACGTACCTAATTAACAACTTGCACAATTCCGACGACAAAGAATAATATTTCTTAAATATAAATAAGTCGTAATCAAAATTAAAACTTCAAACAAATGTAGAGGAATGAAAATGATCAAGTGCCGCTATCAAGAAGTCAGAACAAAATTTTGAATTGTTCCAATAACAACAAGACCACATATAAAATATCATTTAGTATAAGTGATGCGAAATAAAATATGTTTATAAGGACTTCCTGATATATTCCCTCAGCGCTCGAGGACCTTATGAAAATGGGAAGGCTTGAGGGAAGATCGGAAAACTCAAACAATAGACTTTACAATCAATAACATACATATTTTGTTGATTTTAAATGTCCGTCCATACAATGAATGAGGTCGGATAATTAACAGCATAGTACTGGATCAAATAACATAAGCGTAACAACTGATAAATAAGGAGACGTAAACAAGTCAAGGTGAGTGGGAATGACTTCCACTATTACTGTAAGATGGACTATATTGCGGTGAACCTCGAGAAGCACGACCAACTGGTGATCTGGAGCGAGAATGAGCACGTGATTCCCCATTATCTTCTTTTACTCGAATGTAAGAAGTTTCACCCTGAAAATTCTTCTGCCATTTCATGTAAAACTATCAAAAATAATCCTGTAATGAAAAAAAATTAAAATGTGGGCTGAAAACGAATACACATACCTCATGTGATTTGAACTTCGTGTCATCAAGTTTGCGTAGAGCATATTTCATATCTTCATAACGACCATATTCCACAATACCAGTACCATCACGTAGCACATCCGTATAGCAAACATCGCCTGCTTCACGCATATGGTCTTTTAAATCCTGCCACGAGCCTAAGAAAACATAACACCTACACAATATAAGCGATATGCTGGAATATAAGATAAGCCTGATCCAAGATCCAAGTGTTTTGTGATATGAAAAATAAAAGGACAGAAAACTTCCACTCATTACGCTAACTAATTACTGACTTGGATAACGTATAGATTTAGAGAGTGGAGGGTATACCTGAGATCACTAAAAGTGTACTGAGTACTGTAATACAGTATACTTATCAAGTCAACTAGCTTTTTTAATCAGCTTTTTGTGGAAGAAAATATGGAAACAAACCTGAAGCCGGCAGACCTGAAACTATAACACGATAGCTTGCTCGACGACCTCCGCTGGAACTGCCACCTCCACTAGTGTTTCGTGAGAGGGCTATGTTTCTTCCAGCGTCATAGAGCCGTCCTCCGGGTCCCCTAGGTCCTAAACCGCGCGGAAATTCTACCCGCAACCGATACCCCTCATAATCATACCCATCACGACCGCGAACAGCATCTTCTGCATCCCTGAAAGCAGTATTGTAAGAATGAAATTGTACACCTCCAAAGAGATACGACAATGGTGTCGCAACAAATGAACCGCAGTTTCAATATACAACTGCAAGCACACAGCAGTTCAACTCAAATTAACAAGTTGAAACTAATGCAAGAACCAAAAATGTTTAAAATGACGCAGACCTCGCATCTTCGAACTCCACGAAAGCAAAATATGGCTGCCGCCGATCTTTCAAGTCGACGTAAAGGACTCTGCCATATTTGCTGAAGATATCTTCCACGTCCTTTGCTCTAACAGTTGTTGGTAGATTTCCAACATAAATACGGCTTTCTCGTGACATTTATCCTTAATTTGCTAACATTGCATCAACAAGGCTAAGGGAGAAGTGTTAAGCTTACTTCCAGAATTAACATAAAGTAGAAAAAATTTTTCGCAGCAGTCTCGATAACGGTATGATAGCAAATATTTGAGATACTACAATTATTCAACATTTCATTACGTATTTTAGGACAAGTCAAGTCTTGTCTGGACGTATAGCGCCAGTGGATGCGTCTCCAGTGACTGAAGTGATAAGCGCTTTGCAAACCCACAAGCAATCATAAACAACGCGACCTACTAGTATTTTACACACAATTCTCGCTGGGCGACTATGATGTTCTGAGTTGTTTGGATCAATCAGGTCTCGATGAAATTTCAATGTTTTTGCACTGCACTAGGGAAATAATTGACGTCAACGCATCTTTTTTCCCAGTGTCACTGGACGTTAATTGACTTAAGTATGTAAACGGAAATTGCATCGTTAACCACCGCCTTCCGGAAACCGATTATCAAACATGGATTATATGATTGGGAGAATATATGGATTTTCTGGATAATATGATTACTCATAAATTTTCTCTTCAATGACATGAACGTCTGTAGCGAAACTGCACTTTCTTTCTCCCTCAGTGAAGTATTTATTTGTTCATTAACAAGTCTCTTTCAAGAGAAATATATGATTTTATTTTTTTCTTTTTGATATTATACCACTATCATCTTTCATTTGACGGAAACGATGTGTAACACATCAGTGAGCAGTTCCTAACAATTCAGTAATGCATTTATTTACAAAAACGCTGTTACTCAAGACACGCTTGCAGTACGCCAATAACTTGCTTCGACTACTCTTTGTTACACTGACCGTTTTATCGCAATGAAATGTAATCCACGGTTATTTGCCGGAGTCAGCGAAATATCATATAAAAAGAGTCGTTATAACAGAAATACTCAAAGGATACTGCTTTCATCTGTAGCTTTGTCGTATTTACCTGCTTGATCCAAATATCGTTTCAAATTATCTGCTGCAAATAGCATTTCCTGAAAATGAGAATTTTTCGATAGCCGTCATCCCACTACACAAACACAAACTTCTCAACTTCTGTCCCATTCCCAAAATCCTATTATAGCTTGAAATCCTTTAATAAATTTTCAAATTACTTGCGAGGGTCTTTGCTTGTTTGTGATTGCTTTATAGAATGCTTGCAATGATTCAGCCGATTCCTTCAATTCTTTTTGCTTCGCTTTAAATATGGCATAATTTAAACGTATTTGAGCACTATTGTTCTTGTCAAGGTGAAGCGCTCTATCGTAAGCCTTGTTAGCATTGAGCGTATCATCAAGATTTGTTAGTACTACTGAAAATACTCCTTTCTATATTATGTATAAACGATAGTATTTTAGTCTGATATACTTAAAATTATATATATATTGGAAAACTTTTTCTAGAAGATCATACTATCTATTTTTAAAAAAGAAAAATAGAAAAACTATTTAAATTCAGTCTTTGAATACCCCCTTTCTCTCTTTGGTTGAAATGAAGTAGAACCTGCTAGTGCCATGTAAGGCATTGTCGAACGCGTATTTAAATTGACAGCCGATGATAGAAAATGATAAGCAGATGCATACTGCTCCATAGCATTATGCACTATGCCAAGATTGTAGCAGATTTTCCATTCAAGCGGACACAAATAATTAGCCTTTAGAAGAAAAAAAAACAAATCAATTTAATGCAACTGATAAATTACAACTAACAAATCACTCAAACATTTTAGACATTTTAAAAAGTTACCTTCTTCAGACAACTTATCGCTGCAACGCATTTGCCTTTACCAAAGAAACACATGCCGATATTATTCCATAACGGTCCGTTGTATTCGCACTTCTCGGCAACTATTCTGTAGAGAAATAAATATTAATTCAAAGAGTAGAAACGATGTATATGTGTGCTCGTTTATTCATTTATTCATTTATAGTTTGTAACAAAAAAAAGTAGATCGTTTATTCAGATCGGTCTGTAACTCATGAAATTCTTCATGTTTTCTAATTACTTATTAAATAGAGAAGCTATACCTAACCTGTACTTTGTTAGAGCAACATCGTATTCACCATTGGTTTGTATGATAGAACCAGCGGCAAGAATACTTTGTGGATATGTAGGATCATAGCTGAGGGCTTTACCAAAGGCATCAAATGCTTGGTCATCATTCTGCCACCTTGCATGAAGCAGTCCCATATTTGTAAGAACATCAAGATTCTCTGGTTCTAACTACAATAGTATTTTAAACATCTCAGTTTATTTCTTGTTATCATTAGTATCATCAAAATTAATTTCAAAGTGATATTAGGAACGTTTATTCAATACCTTCAATGATTCGTGCATGGTGAGGAATTTTTATTGTTATGTTAACCACCCTTTGCACTTCATTTCACAAAAATTTTTAAAAGAATCTGTTTTTGTTCCTCTTTTGCAATCTACGGGCTTTTAATTTCTGAGAATGCACCTGCTGGAAATTCTTGATTCATTAGTGCAAATTCATATTAATATTCCAATTTCCATCAATTTTCACTTATCGGTTTCAAAACCTACTTCCAATGCTTTCTTTTGCGCATCGATTGCTAGCTTGATGTCATTACGTTGCTCACATAATCTTGCTAGAAACGTCAAAATTTCAGCATGTTGTGCAGCTGTTGGGGCTGTAAGTAAACATTCTTGAGCCTGAAAAGCTGAAAGTAAGGATAAAATCGAAATGAAATAGAACGAGAGGTTGAATACAAAAACAGTTTCACCAAGTTCTAAGCAACAGTAAGCATGGAAGAAAATTTAACATACTTTAAGTGCAGATTCAGAATCCTGTTTGATATGATATAATGCCATTGCTCGCCAATAGTACGATTTCTAGAATTAAGCATCATTATTTTTATCATTCATTGTGAACTAAAATAACTTATTAGAAATGCAAACTTGCAAAAAAAAAAACTGTTTCTAGTCCCTTAAACGGCATACCTAAACTTACCCAATCTTTTTCATTCAGTTTAATTGCATCCAAAAAAACTTCTGATGCTTTAGCGTGCCTTCCAAGTAAGAAATGTAAACAACCAATTTCACGCATATAAGCACCATTTAGAGGATTCACTAACTGCGCCTTCTCATACCTTCAAATTCAAATCAAAGTTGGGAATTTTGAAGAGTAATGAGAAATATGAAAAAATTTCAAGAAAAGAGTTCCTAATATTTTAAATGACCATGCAAGCAAACAGCTAACCACATTAAAGCTTCACGAAAATTTCCCTCCATTCGAGCTATTTTACCTCTAATGCAAAACGGATATTCACACATTTCGCTGTATTCATCTGCCATCTCCTTCAATTAATTCTTAGCTATAGTTTTAGGATAAATAATGAAAATACCAATTCATTTCAAAAGCTGGAGTTGTTCAATCTGATGATTCTCTATAGTGACCACCAAAATATGATAACCTTTATCAGGGCTTTGCATGCATTAAAATCTCTGCGAATGAAGCGCTGATGAAGAATGAAATTCCTGCGATCGAAGCCCTGAAGCTCTCTTTTTTTACTTTTCGCTGCAACTCTTCCTCTACTCACACCGAGCATATCACTATTACGTTCTGTACTATCCTGAAGTGCGTCCAAATCACTTTCCTGCGAAGTGAGTTTATTTTTAACAGTGACATTCATAGAATTCACAGAGCCATCTCCATTATTATTAGCATTTTCTTCTCCATCATTACACATTTAATGCTCCTGAAACCAACAAAAGCAAAAAGAGAATATGCAATATAAGAAAGCCACAAAAATTATTTGAAATTTCAAGTGATAAATGTAATATCAGATCTAAACTAAAATTACAATTTTCTTAAAGAATGTGTCAACCACCTAATTAGAAGAGAAAAACTTTTTACTCAACTCTTTTTCTAAAAAATACTTGTTGCTAGCAAAATTTTAAAATTTTTTTCTGTTCCTGCTGATACACTTATGTTATAAATTTCCCTGCTATTTTATAACCAATGGCTATAAAATAGCAGGGAAATTTACAGCATAAAAATAAATGAGTCGATTTAGAATCATGAAAATGTGATGAATATGATCGATGGTATATTGTATTGGTAATTTAAGTTTCTTGATAGATAATTTAGACCTAAAAAAGTCAAAAATAGAATTATACATTTTAAGATAAATGGACTAGAAAGATTTATTGTCACCTTATGAAATACAAGATATATGTGAGCATTTCCATCATCATAATGATTGTATGTTACAATTTTTTCATGCTGACATTTTTGATAAAAAAAGGAAACTTTCATGGTACAAATATAAATCCTCATTTAATTTGCATACTTAAAAACAGAATAAATAAATTTGGCATGCTTCAGGTACCAAATATGATGTAATGATGTTACCATGGATACTAAGCCATTTCAAGAAAACATACACTGTCCAAAGGTTCAAGCAGATTGAAAACAAAAAAAAAGACTGAATGTTGATAAGCTAAATTGGGTAATCCGAAATATCGATAATTCATTAAAAAGCGATTAAATAAATGGTTAGCTGAATGATACCGTAGCAGATCAGACAATATATGGTCGGTTCTTTTTTGAAACCAACTGAGCCTTTTTAAACGTGCTACTCAGACATTTCAATTAAGAGTTGGCCTATAAGCCTAGTAATTGTTGTTTGCAGCAATGGATCAAAGAAATTATCAGTGAAAAAAATTTTAATCTGCATCATAATGTGACTGCTTTTGAAATTTTTTTGGAAAATGTTCTCAGTAATGTATACTGCATACGTAATATGTTTCGAGACACTGTCCCAATCTCGCTAAAAGTACTTCTTATGTTCAGACTACTGAAATGGGATTGAAAACTCTGGAGAGAAAGAGAAGAATTTCATTTTCCATTGTATAATGCAATATAAAATATATCTCATAAAGCAATTAATTAGATTAGATACCTTTCGTTACAATCATCATTTCTATACCACAATACTTCGACCTCAAATGATCTCACCCTGATAAAGACTAAATTTATTGATTTTCACACAGACCAAGTTATATTGTGTCACTAATTGGCCATCAGTCTTGGTTGAGTGTTATTGGCGTGTTGTGAAGGAAGGACGGGGAGAGTACTGAATGTTTTCTCGAGAGGTTATGATTAAACTTTTGGGATCTAATGAACTGTCTTATATTAAAGATAATCGCTAACTGTTATGAGTTTTAGAAGGCAATAACAAAATCAATAGGTGATTGTAAAACTCATAAAATGTCAGAATTAGCTTTATTATCACAGGTCTAAGTGTTCAGTGACTATGACAAAATTTTAATCTATGTAAAATAATGCGGACTTTTTACAGTGGCTCACAAAGAGCAGACGGTAATGTATGTAATGTCAAGTGACACTATGGGTTTGAAAAGATGAAGAAAGAATATTGCATCCTTTTTTTTCCAGTAATTTCAAGCGAACTACAAAACAGTTGATAGATGGTTCCAGAGTCATATGACATCACAGTTATTGATTTAGAAAGCAATGAAGTTAAGTTTCCTGTGAGTTTGCTGTCATATTTCTGATGTACTCTTTTTTAACTTCTTGAACATTAAGTAATTTTTTGTTACAGCAAGGAAGTACAATTAAATGCAATAACGGTCATTTGCTGTTAATTGGAAAACCGTATTTCCGTTCAGAGGTATGTGATTACATCTGTTTCTTCTTTTTTTTGTTTGCTGAAAAGGGAAGAAGGAATCGCATTGTCATGTACGAATAGAAGGCTTATTTATCATGTAAGCCTAATGAAAGGCTGAAGATTGCTTTTTTTTCCAAGATTCCGAATGAATTATTAGATTGCAGGTTAAAAAGAAAAAACTGATAACAAGAGATGTTCTTTGCTAGGCTAGCAAGAACATTTTTCAACATGCTTTATTATTATTTCAGATTCCATGTTACTGCATATTTTGATGAAACTTTAATGTCAAGTGGCAGTTTTTATCCTTTTGAAGTTTCAGGCATGTTTGTCACCTAGTATTGTTTGCCATGATGGATCTAAAACATTGGTGAAAAAACTAAATGCATGCAAACTGGTTAACGAAATTATTGATGTATTGAACGACATGATTGGAGGTTGGGCAGTTATTTATTACAGGGTAAAAATTTATGCTATGCGTGTATTTCAAGATGGATTTGTATAACGTATGTAAAATAAATAAATTCTTATTAAGTAAATCCACCCATTGTTCTGTTCTCCTTCCTTGGTTACTAATCATAAAGGATGAAATTTTCTAAAATTTCTGGAGCATGCTAGAGCTTATTTTGTATTAGTGGTTAAAGCCAAACGTTTCTCAGCTTTGAGTATACTTATTCTTATTGTCTCTTTTATTTTGATTTGACAAATTTTCCCATGTCTTCTTTTCTGCGTTGTGCTCATCAATATCAAATGCCTCAAGGCTATTTTTGATTGCTGTTCTCATAATAACTTAGAGACTGTTTTCCTTCGATCAAGTCAGCAATTTGCAGTGTTTTATTTTAATTTTTGTCTTTATTATTTTTTGCGAAGGTGACATGCTGAGTCTCCTTTTCTTCATTGTTATATATTATAATGACACTGATTTGTTTTTTGGCAGCTACAGCGACTATAATGCTAAGCAAAATAGCAACCATTAAAGCTTCACTGATATGAGCCTGCGAGATATTTACAAGTAATTCAATTTATTTATTCCTTTTTTTTAGGAAGACTTCAAGAAAGTACTGCTCGGACGTGATGTATTTGGCCGAAAAAGTTTATTGTGGAAGCGAATGGATAAAAGATTTTATTTTTCTATTTTCGCGTGTGATCAACAGGTAATCAAATTTAATTAAAATAGATGTTTGCATCGTCGATAAACAAATGTCTGATTTTTTCAAACATTTTTCAGCGCAGCTGGTACGATGTGCCTTCGGGTACTGTGACTGTTTTTAGTTTAGACAATGAAGAAAATACCACTATATTTCATGTTTTTGAAGACAACGGACCATGGTTAAAACAATTTAATAAACTGTGTCGGGTACAGAGGAAAGGAGTTTCAGAAAGACTCATGCCTTCTCATGAATTGTCTTTTAAAAATGTTCGTTTAATTATGCTTTGTACAATATGGCGATTGTTTAAATTATAAGTGATAGAAAAAGGGTTTGAAACTTACTGAGATATTTTGTTTTTTGACAGCAAGTACGAGTTTATTGAAATTATTTATCCCACAGACATGTAGGAAATATTGTTTAGATCTGGTCGGTTGATTTTTTCTTGGAAATAAGTGTATAGAAAAACAAAGAGAATAGTTTATCGAAGTGGAGGAATTAGATTATAAAGATGATATCTGCACTTTCTGTTGAATTCGTTTTGTAAAGTCTGAAAATAAAGTCAGAAATTGCAAAAAAGTTACATTTGGGATTTTATTTTATTTGTGCTCTTATCTGATGCTTTTACATAGGTAAGTCGCGAAGATATGGCAAAGATTATGTTGAAACAGTTGAAAGAAGCTGTATATCGTATAACTTCTAACTTGGATAATTTTACGAACTGTATATCACTATCGTTCAGTGGTGGTGTAGACAGTTTGTTAGTTGCTCATTTGTTGGCTCACTGTATGCCGCAAAATGTACTGTTCGATCTAGTGAATGTCGCTTTTGACAAGGGAAAGGTTTGAAATGTTTCTTTTTTCCTAATTTTTGAGACTAGTATTATTATTTATTTTTTGAAATGAAATGCAAGTTTGTTTTAAGAATTATGATCGAGCTCCAGATCGACTACAATGTAAAAAGGCATTCAGATATCTCAAATATTACTATCCTGAACTCGCTTTTCGTTTGCTTCTGGTTAATGTTGATCTGAATGAACTGGTAGATTGCCGAAAAAAATACATATCAACTTCAGTGGCTCCAGCTTGCTCTGTCTTAGATGATTCAATTGGATGCGTACAGTGGTTCGCTGCTCGTGGTGAAGGACTCCTATTCGAGGATGAGGAAAAGCCACTTGTACCTGAAAAGTTGGTGATGCTCATTTTGTGAAACACCATTTCACTCTTGCATGCTTCCGGTTCTCAAACATCTACCTATCTTGACTAAAATAGATTTCATTTCTTCCCATTAGTGAAAATTAGATTGACATATTCAAGAGAGTTTTCAAGCTTGGTTAAGGTGTTTTTACTTTAGATCAGAAGCCAAAACTGTAGTTGTTGGTAGCGGTGCAGATGAATTGTTTGGTGGTTATATGCGGCATAGAACCACTTATTTGAAAAGAGGAAGAAACGCGGTGGTGGAAGAATTGCGTGAAGAACTGAAAAGGATCGGTGAAAAAAATCTTGGACGTGATGATAGAGTGGTTTCAAGTCTGGGCAAGGACCTAAAGTACTTATCGCTTAGTTTCGCTTGTCATGCTTTACTGCTGCTAGAAAGATACCAATTTCAAATTTGATGATTAAATGTAAATGATTCTTTGGCTGCTTTGTTTTACTCTGTTTTCTACAATTAACTTGTGTAGAATCCATTTTTAGGTCACCATTTCTTGATGATTTATTCGTTGAATGGGTTGCGTCTCTACCGCTTGAATACAAATCCGACTTTACGCAACCTAGAGGAGTTGGCGAAAAGTGCTTGATACGAGAGGCATTAAAGGTAGGTTGTGTTATTGCAGTAAAGCAAATTTTTATGTGCATTTTCAATTTGCGAGTTCTTTTTAGCTATTGGGAACACCACAGACGTTATGTCTCACTCCAAAACGTGCTATGCAATTTGGTACGAGAATAGCAAATTTGGAAAATCGAGGAGAAAAAGGAAACGATTTTTGTCCTAGACTTTTGGGAAAATGAATATGATTATATTGTTGTCAGTGGATAATTTGAAATCTAAAATTCCGATTAAAGCCGGAAACTTTTTTACATATTGGTTTATTCTCAAACTTTCAAAAAAATCTTGACCTAGGAACAAAAATTTGAAGGATTGAAAATCATTTAAAGAATGTTCCTTCTAGATACCTTTAGGAACCGCTAAATTTGAAGTCGTCGTTTTTCCAGTAAACCTGGAGAGTCCTTTTCTGCGAATGAGCCAATTGTAGTTAGAAAATCATATATGAGTACGTGAGAATTTTTTTTTGAAATGTTTTTTTACAAATATATCAATGCCTTTATTTTATTGGATTATCGTACCTCCCTTTATAAAATTCACCAAATTTAATATCGGTACAGGCAGGGGAAAGATGGAAATGATCAGTGCAACGGCGAGATATGATGAAGTGTCACTTCAATCTTCGTGAAGGCTTTGAAGAGACTTTGAATTAATTACTTCTGAATTTGTTTTTATAGGATATTAGCAAATCACATATGAGCGATGCGAACCATTGACAGTCTGTTGTCATCAATAGTTTTCAACATTTTATTCTGTTATGAACAAAAATTTTTGAGATTTCCTTATTTTTGAGACGAACTTCTTGGCAGCGGATCGAATCCCATTAGTGAAGAGGACACTAAAAGTTCAAGTTGGACAAGGTGGTTTCTTATCACGTCTTCATTTTTCCGGTGAAAATCCGAAATCTAGTGGCCAAAGAATCAGTATGAATTGTTACCGGACTTGCCTTACTGAGCTAGTTAATATTCATAAGTTCTATGTATGCACGGTCCATGTATGCTTCATAAATAAGTAATTCAGGATATGGTGTCATAATCCACTTCGATAAATTTATTCTTTATTAAAGGCTGTAAGATTTATGTGTGAAAATTGATAGTGATTAGCACATACTCTAGACAAGACTGACCTTTTCATAGCAAATGATGAAGGGTCGTTCTATTAAATATTGCCGATTATATCGATAGAACGAAAACGCCTTTCTTACTAGGTGAATATTTCGAAATAAAATTCTTCATTTTAGATTTCGTGTCGTTTCAAAAACATTACAGCTCTGAAAATTTTATAATTAAAAGGTAGGAATCGATGTAGTATAGCATCTTGGAATTTCACTATTTAAATAAGTTCGAATTAGTAGACTGAAAAAGAGCATTCAGTAGATTTGTTATAAAAATTTGTTTCGTGTGTGTGATTGCACAAGTGGCTAATCAAACATGAACCTAAGTTTGGTGAGTGGCAGTGCTTTGTTTTGATAATAGAATAAATTTGAATGGCCAATTTTTCGTAAATCAGTACAGCGATACAAAGATTTTAAATAAAGAGGTAAAAACGTACGGAAGTTGTAAATTCCAGTTACTAACATTCGGATTAAAAAAAATTTCAGAAGGAAGTAACTGCCGTATAAATTCATACACATGCCTGCAGTTAATTCTGCTTCATTTTTTTCCATGAATCAGAAATGGCAAGAATAGGAGCTCTTCAGCTAATAAATAAGTTCAAAGAATAATGAGTCTTTTATTTCTGCCGAACAACCATACATTATGCTGAGTGGTGTTTTTATTCTACTTGTTGAAGTTTTCTGTTTGACGGCAAGAGATCAATTACGTTCAATTTATTTCGTTTAGTTCTCTTTATGCTTCTGTTTAGTCACATTTCAGTATCAATTTTTCGATTACATATATTTTCATAAAAAGAGCAGTTTGGTTTGGCAGGATTTTTTGGCCCTCTGTTGAATTAGTCATTCTACTTAAATGAACAGAGAAATTTCGATATGTATATATACATGTATATATATA